GAATCTTGGGCACGCACACACACGCGCCTGGCATGAGTTTAAGCCACCGGGTCAGGGACGCAAACCGCGGTCGACTACATGGGAGTTCAGCAACATAGCCATTATGCTAACTGCTGGTCCCCCTCCCAGCATATTTCCAAAAACCACCAGCATTGTTAAACTCCTTCAGTGCCCTGCCATTAGTCTTTAATGTCCTGGAGAGGTCACTGTAGTGTCCCTACTCTAGGCTCCCTATAGATTCAGGTTAAAATTAAAACCCCACAACCTAGTCAGTAATTACAGCTAAATACGTGGGTTTTATCTTCTCCTGCTTTTTTTAAATGTATATTTTTTTCTTGCGAAAAGAGAAGGGCCCCCTTGACAGAGTCTCATCAGGTCACAATCACCCCTCACCCCAGCTTTCCAGCCAGCCAAGATTTATGAGCACACCCACGATGAGCATGCCTGATACATTCAGGTTGATCTGGGATAGGAACCCCAATCCTTCCCACATAGCTCCAGCATCACACAACAGCACCCTACCACCTGCACCACCACATCTGGGCTTGTCCTGCTATTTCATTTTTTTTAGAGAGAGATTTTTATTTTCATTTTTATTTTTTCCAGTAGGGTACATGTGATTACCAGAGCAACAGAGAGAGGGAAAGTGAACAATCACACCCCAAGAGGGATAGCCAGGGATTGTCCTTTCTCCTCCTTTCTCCTCCTGGAATTTTGAGCACACACACACACACACACACACACACACACACACACACACACACGTGTCCCGCATGGGTTTTAAGCCACCAGGTCTGGGATTCAAACTGCAGCCAACCAGGTGGGAGACCAGCACCTTAACCACTATGCCACCTTCAGCCTGGGCTTATCCTGGTTTTAACCAGAGTAACAGTAGAAAGTTTTACAGAGTAAAACTATCCCAAAGTCTATGAACTCTGACCTAAAGATGAAGGTTAACTATACACACACGCACGCACACACACACACACACACACACTCAATTTTTTCAAAGTTCTTTTTAAAAAGTTTTGTTAACACAACAATCAACATCAAACTATCCCACTTAGCCACCCTTTTTTGAAGGGAAGGAATGAGATTTTCAGAGAAAATAACTCTTAAACCTTCATATAATGAAAGACCTGAATAATATAATGACAGTGTGGTGACAAAATCCAGTATAGTGACAAAACTAAGTACCCCAAAGTAAGAGAATTTTAAGAAATGCATGTTGATAATGAATAAGATGAATTAACTCTGCAGTTTAATTCATATTGTTTTATTGGGTTGTGTTTAATACTGATTTCAGAGCAAGGTGTAGAAGGGAATTTAAGCTGCTATGCAAGGGCTCATGCTAGCCCTGTATAGGAACTCACTCAAGTTTGTCAGCTCTGTATTTGCGGTTCTTTCCTTCTGCACATAATTGCAATGCATGGTTCTGCACATACTGTGCTGCCCAGCTGAGGAGGGTACTGGCTTGGTCCACCCTCTTTAAAATTCTGAGACATTGGCTTATTCAATAGCAGGAACAGTTTTAGTGAGTCAAATTGTATTCAGCTCTAAAATTTTAAAAGTGGCTTTAAGGCACAGCCCCTCCCTTTGAGAAGCCACCCCCTATGCCTGACAGATGCTGAGCCGTAGATTTTCATTCACAATGGCCTTTTTGTGCATCTCCTCCAGAAGGATGATCTGAAGACAGAGCAAACTCACTTCCAAAACCAAACTTACTACTTTTCCAATCAAACCTACTTCCTCTTCTTTTACCTTAAATATTGCCAGTCTTAGCCCTCACATATCCAATCTATAAGTCCAAGTTGTTTTCAATCCTACCCTCCCACCACCACCACTCTCTCATCCTCACATCCACCTACTTGTCAAGTCTAGTCAATTCTGGACCAGAACATGCTCACCTGTGAGCCCATCAACACTAAAATTGCCTAGACACTGAGAATTGCAGAGCTGAAGGGGAAGCAGAGGACCGGCTAGTCACCTGACCACATCTAAACAGTGGAGTGGCTATAGGCTATGTAACTTCTTTAAGGAGAGCATAAGTGAGGGAAATCCTTCCACTTTGGATGAAGCTACTTCTGGCCTCTCTGAGGGCCCTAATTCGATAAGATCAGGTTGGACATAACCCTGCTTCCCATGTACCAGGAACTCAAGCCTATGAAGAAAATGCCTATCACTTAGAGAGGAAAAAACCCATCCCACGATAGGACCACACAACACCCTGCAAACTACCAGAATAGAGAAATGAGAAATGCTGAGCTGTTCTAATAGCAAAAGGAGACATTAACAGTATACAAAAATAGAAAAGAAAATAATAGTCAGAACTTAATTCCAAACCACAAATAGCACCTAAATCTATGACAGTGCTACCCATGATTCATCCCTACAAATCAAATTTGGAACCAAACAGGCAAAAGAAAAAAAAATGACATTTGACAGGAAAATACTTGCAACACATTTAATTTTGCATCAAGAATGTATAATTTCCCAAGGATTTGGCCTAAAGCATTAAGCCAGGCTGTATGTTTTTCCAATCAATTAGGCCTTCCTGCATCAGCACTTCTGCTGCAAACTACTAGAGCCTTCATGTTCTCCAATAAGGAGAGAAAATGCATACCAGTTGTTTTATTTCCATTTTTAAGATTATGTTGCTAGAAAAGCAGACAATACCTTCCTACAGATTTGAGAATGTCTGCAACTGGAATGGATGAGGTGGCATTCAGTTATACCCATTTGAAAGGGAGAAATGGCTAGATGCTACTTAGCATTTGTCTCAGGGCTTTTGATCATTTTCAGATTTTAAGATGTTGATTTTCATATATGAGAAATGTCTTTCAGAATTATTTTAGAAATTATAATGAAAAATAATTAAGCTGTTGACACTGTTCTACTACTATCTTAGATTTATAAAAATTACAAAAGTAGGGTCCAGCAGGCGACATAGTGGTTAAGGTGCTGGGTTTCCACAGTGTCATTAATGGTTCAAGTCCCCAGACCTGACAGCTTGAAAATCACACTGGGCACGTGTGTGCATGCTCAAAATCCCAGGAGGAGAATGGAGAAAAGGGATGGCAGCCATGACCATTGCCCCTGGGAGGCAATTTCTCACTTTCCCTCTCACTAGCAAGCACACACAATCTATGGTAAAAACCTTAAAAAGTTAATTTTTTAAATGACAAAAGTAATATTTTATAACTAGAATAAGCTTAGGGTCATCTGTTTCTTTTAACTATGTATCAGACACTACACAAAGCTCTTTATATGTTTTATCTAGCCTTATCTTTGCCAATCCTTTGAAATGTTCACAATTATTAACCCTATTTTATAACTGATAAGACTGAAGCTAACTAATCTCTTCCAGTAGATGCAAAAGTACAAGGACAATGACGTAAAGATTCTAATACAAGATCTTCAGAGAACTGCCTTAGTCCCACCCCTAAATAAAATAACAACTTTCAAGCTGCTATCTTTTAAACCCTCAAAAAAATCTCTATTTTTTTTTTTAAAGAGCTCATATATGGGACCAGCAGATGGCATAACAGTTATGTCACTGAACTCCCATGTAGCCAACCAGGGTTCGAGTTCCAGACTTGGCAGCTTAAAATTCACACCAGGTACGTGCGTGTGCATGTCCAAGATCCTGAGAGGAAAACAGAGGAGAACGGATTACAATGTGGTCATCCTCCTTGTTGGGGGGAGGCGGGGAGGGGTGTGATTTCTCGCTTTTTGTCTCTGTTTCTCTCTGTCTCCTTGGTAAGGGCACATGCCCTCTACAAAAAAAAAAAAAAAAAAAAGGCATATCTAAATATTTTGCTAAGAAATTTTAGCTGCATCACCCTGAGACTTGTTCAGCACCTTACTCAGCCTCCAAGTTACCTCATGCTCATTAGACTTTCAATAAGCTAAAAACACAAATTTGACTAGTGTTTTGTTGAGCTACTATGAGCCATAGACCATGCTAGGTACTCTATGACTTATTTTATTTTTCACAATATAACCATGAGATGATTAGTGTCTTTCATATTCTATAGGCATAACCCTAGAACAAGTGACAAGTAGCTGATAAGGTGGTAACTGGGATTTAGTGGGAGCTCTTCTAATTCCTAAAGAAGGCTAAGAGACTGGGAATCCAGTTAACTGGCTTGCAGCTGTGGGGAAAATATTTTGTTACAAAAATATGTTGAACCAAATACCTAAAGGATGGAGAATTTATTAAAGAATTTTAATTATTTATTTAATTCCTGGATCTGGATGGCCATACATAGAATACTGTCATTGTCTCAAGTTTCTTTTGAAATTGTCAACATGGACCAGAAGAGAAATAAATCCTAATAGGTGGCAGCCCAATCTTCTTGGACTCCCATGTGGAGTTATCTACTCCTCATATTTCCATCCAGATCAACAAAGAATAAGCCACATATTTAAAGAAAAATGAGAAGTAGGAAATCACACCAATGCGAACACTAGTGATTCCACTGAGTGTGTTTTGATCTGTGACTGTGCCCAATCTATTATCATGAACTTATAATTCAACCAATGAAGTCAATACGCTAACTGACCCACACTGTGCACACTTTCTGCAACTGAATTTGGCATCCTGATAACAGTGGCAGCAAATACTCAAAAATAAATAGCATGAATGTATTCACTAGTATTGTCCCATTCTGAATTCCCAGAATTGATCTCCCAGTTTCAAAAAAGTGTCCCTGAACCCTAAATACCAGGTGAACCATATAGTGTAGATCAATAGATTTTTCAAGTGCAATAATTATTTCTCTCCGGGAGATTCCCATTAGTCCCAAAAGGAAGAATCTTTGATTGACCTCAAGAAACACCGCAGATGTGGATAAGCCGTGTGTGCTGCTGACCTTATCAGAAGAAAGTCAGGCCTTGGAAATCACTAGGGAACACCCTGAGCATGTGCATGTTGGCTGTGGGAAACCAAACAGCTGGTCAAATGTGTGTTCTCCTTAAAAACCAACCAAACCCAAACATGCAGACCGTGGAGGAGAAAGGAGAAAAAGGAATGGGTGAGTTGACAGTTTCTTTTTGTATTTAAACCATTCTCAGGAAATAATAATATGAATGGAAACAAGTAGAGGGTTGATGTGAGCATCTAGGACTCTGACCCATTGGTAAAAAAGATTTTTAACATAAAATCCCAGAGACCCAGTTGCTCGAGCTCCTGGGTACAGAGGAGAATTTACTTTGCTACCTCTGAATGTCACATTTCCAGCTGGGAGGCTCTGAGGCCAAAAAAAGATGGCAAAAAGCAGGTGGAGAATCTGCAAAATGTATTTCTGATAGGTATTTCCAACCCAAAGAAACAGATTAAAATTAAGAAAGAGGGGGGACCAGCAGTTAGCGTAGTGGCTATGTCGCTGGACTCACACGTAGTCGACCGCAGTTCGAGTCCTGGACCCAGTGGCTTAAACTCATGCCGGGCGCGTGTGTGTGCGTGCCCAAGATGCCGAGAGGAGAATGGTGGAGAAGGGATTTCGGCATGGCCATCCCCCCTGGGGGGGTGATTTCTCGCTTTCTGTCTGTCTGTCTGTCTCTCTCTCTCTCTGTCTGTCTTTCTGGCGAGCGCACGTGCCCTATAGCAAAAATCTCTCCAAAAAAAAAGAAAAAAAAATTAAGAAAGAAGGAGAGACAGAGAGGAGGAGGGAAAGGACAGAGGGAGGGAGGACCTAGGGGACAACTCAGGACAGTCTTTACTATGAAATGAGACATGTTTGTAGTATCATCAGAATCCCTTCCCTGAACTGATGCTACCAGATCTGCTGGGACAGGGGCAATTCTTTGTCTCCTGCCATGAACCAGAACAAGAAACAGCATATTGCTAGTGTAGCAGAATCATGGGCCACTGCACCCTGACATTTCTGAGAAGGCTGTGTATGATCCCGGGCAAAGCACAGAAATGAAAGTTCATGTGGCAAGTTTCTCTCCTCTCAGGTTTAAAACATTCGAACTGTGCAACAAAGCCAGTGAACTACTGAACAAATGGAAGAGATTCAGGGTCATGAAAATAAGCCCTGGTTAACTTGCCAGGAGATGACTTTCAAAGAAACCAGAGGGTACCACCTGGCAGGTGGCATGGTGATTAAGGTGTTGGACTCCCACGTGGCCAACCACAGTTTATGTTCTGGATCTGGCAGCTTGCTTTCTCACTTTCCCTCTCTGTCTCTCTCACCAAATTAAAAAATAATAATAATAAATAAAATTAAATAAGTAATTCTTTTTTTTTTTTTTTTTAAAAAAGGAAAGAAACCTAGCACTGCCACCTATAGACTTACAACAGGTGTGGCCCAAGGAGAAATTTAAAACACCAACGGTCCTTTTACAAGCTTCTCCGAAATTGGTTAAAGGCTTGAAATCATTTTCCTTCATTTGTTCATTTATTTTACTAGCATGTATGGGAAGCCTCTCAAGTACCAAGTCAATATGGCCAAATCAAAAAGTGCAAGGTGGTAAGCAGAGGGGCTAAGTGATAGGGCCTGGATTGGGGCAAAACCCTGCTGTGGAGAGCCAGATTTGGCAGAGAATTCTTTTGGCCAATAGAATGTGTATTACAACTTTGATCTTCTAAATAAACCATGCACAATTTTTTCCAGAAAGCACAGGATATACCACTCCAAACTGCTTTATACTGGACCAAATTAACCCATTTATGTGAACTGACTGGCCTCTGGCACCATGGGTTTTTTTGGTTTTGTTTTTTGGGTTTTTTTTTTTTTTTTAGAGGGTTTTGTTGCAGAAGCTTTTCACAAGGAAAACTGGCCTGTCTCAAATGCTTATTGCACCTCCTTTTAGGAAGACTAGGCCATGGTGTCACACTAGAAAATTTGCACTTTAAGCCTTTATATTTATTGTCTGTCTGATAATACTGCTTCTACTATAATTATTAATTTTTCCAGATTATTAACAAGAGACCATGCAAACTAAAAATTTAAAAAAGGAAAGAAGCCCAAAGAGAATCTTTATTGTAACTGATGTGGAGAAAGAGACATGTTTTGCTACATTCGAAAAGAAGAAAATACTTTCTTCTTGAAACAGTAGCAGTATCTGACTTAGAAATACAGAGAATCAAAACAAGATGTTCCTTCCACCATGATTTCAAACCAGCCCCTAATTTCAAAACCCAGAGGGGGAGCTTATCAAAACTCTTTAAAGAGTTTTTCTTTTCAATGTGAAATGTCTGACATCACCCTCCTTTTGATGGGAGTGAAGTGGAGAGGAGATGAGCCACTTACTGCCCACGTGGGGATCCAGAACTATGTCATGGAAACACAGCTGGTGAGCCATGCAGGGCATGGGCCACAACGGCAAGATTCAGAGCCACCCAGTTGACACTCAACTATTTATTTCTATGGTCTCTCTCCCGGTTTAAGGTCCAAGAAAATAAATCATAATCGTAATGCTCTTGGCATCTCAGAGAGTATGTAGAAAAAAAGACAGAATGATGTGTTTTCTGGATTTCAAAGGCAAGTTGCTGTTGTATTTAATATAGCCTCTGACTCTACAAAAAATGATGAGGGTAGGTTAGCCCCCAAAAAAGATGACCCTGGGAAATGACTGTCAAGGGCTACATCCTTGGTGGGATGAATGAATACAGACAATACTTCTGTGATCAAACCATTATTTCAGTTTTTAAGCAAATCAAATAGAAAAATAAGCCAGAGATGGGTCCTCATGTAGCCATAATCGTAAAGAGCAGTCAGGGGCATTCTTAAGTTGCAAGAGAAAAAGGTTCCTTTTAGGTTTTCTGATGAAAGCATGAATTCATGATTGCTATTTCCCATCTCTGTTTCCCTTCTTGTTTCCCTTCTTGAAAACTGAGGCCACTTTTGATCCCCTACTCCTTTCATTCCTCTCTCGGCAGTCCAGTTTCCACTGCTAAGAAGATGCTCCCACAACAGTCTCTTCCATTCCCACGACTGCGGTTGTGTTTTCTCAAATTCATTTCATTCGTGTTTATTGTGAAACCACTCCACACTATGATTCCAAGTGAAAAAACAGCAGTGAACATGGAGACACAGTCTCTGTTCTCATCCAACTTAGCATCTAATGGGGATGTAGACAGAAAATAAGGGAGCTAAAAAATGAACAGGATTATTTCAACTAGAAAAAAAAGACAACACAGGAAATCAAATAGATTATTACACTAGACAGTGATGGGGTAGGGGGACTTAAGAACAGCAAAGGAACCTTTCAATACCAAAATACCAAGTCATACGACCTGAGTTCAAATCCTGGCTCTGTCACTATCATTGTACAGGGATTGGATCACCTGCTTGTGCCTCAATTTCCCTGTCTGTAAACAGAAAATAATAATAATGCATCACAGAGTGTTGTTTTGAGGGTTAAATGAATTAATAAGAGTTTTCTATAAGTGCATGAAACAGTGACTGGCATTCATTAAAATTTTTCCACATCTATAATATGATCGTGTGATCTTTAAGGTCCTTTCCAGCTCACAATTTCTCTATTCTTGCACTTTCACTAGAGATGAAAAACAGATGAAGGTCAGTAGAGCTACTATATACTTTATATAAAGTCATATCTATCCTTTCTTTTCTTGTCCTATTAATGGGTCTACTAATCAGGAAATGGTAATCTTCACAAGCTGCATTGCTAGGTAAAAGTGAAAACAACCATTCAAATCTGTCTCCTCTAAAACTTGATTTTGCAAGAAAATCTTATCTTCTGATAAATATGAAACCCAGTTGGAGACTTTTCCTTCCTTCCTGTGTATAATTCATGGCAAACACCTTGTCATAAACATTCCTGAAAGGTCAGAGATGGCAACACTTTTGCTAAAGAGATAAACAGTCAAATAAAACACTGCCCGGGCAATTCCCAGGCTTCAAAAAACAGCGAACCTCTGATCAATAATGAAATACACAAAAGGGATTGTGGGATAAAGGGCGGGTCCGATTCAATGTATTAAAAACTTGCCTAGGTCATTCGTCCCCCAACAAATCTTGGATGTACAAATATTAGAGTTGTTAACTGTAAATTCATACTTACAATTTTAGAAAAAGAAGATTCTGGTTAGGAAACAAAAGATTATTTTGGGTTAAGGAAGTGAATAATAATAAGAAGTTTTATAAAAGCCAAGGTAAGAACGTTTTGCCTTTGTAATCAATTATTGAGTTCAAATTTTGAATGTTATTTTGAATTACATTTATTATTGTTGCTTTTATATTTATTCTAATGCAAACCACAAAGGTTCAAAAGGACACTAATTTATTCCTAAACGCATGTGTTTATATTTTAAGTGTGCCTTAGAAATAGCATTTTGATTTTGCTATCTATTGATGTTGTCTTAAGAGTAAACTTAGTATTTTGTACACTTAAAAGCAGTTTTCCTTGCTAAACTTTTCACTGTAAATTTTATTTTTTTTTAAATGAAGGCATTTCCAGTCTGGCAGATTTTATATTCCTGGCAAAAGCATTTTATCACTTAAACTACATTACACATTGATTATCTATTATCTGTTCATATTAAGAAGCCTCTATCATCACTTAATGTTTACTAAACAGTCAATAAAATCTAAGTGAACGAATAAATTCAAAGAAATAAGTGGGCTGAAATTCAGAAAAAAATGAAACTGTGTCCATTTTGGAAGAACTCTCTCTTTGTGAGAACTCATTTCTGCTTAAAAGATCTAATTTATCTTTTTTAATGCCATCAATGTTAACAATGGACGACATGTCTTATAGCTTCAGTGTTTTAGCAACTTGTCAATAACATAGAGAATTTAGAAACCAATTCATCAATTCATGGTTTTTTAATTGGATTGTGGATGGTTAATTTTAAATCATTAGACTCTCCAATAATAAAGCTCTAGAAAGAGAGTTAATGAATACAAAAGTTGGTAGCTGTCCCCTATATTTTCAATGAACAATTCAGAGTTCTTATTCCACTCCAACAACAGGTGGCACTTTTCACTTAGAGCATTTTTAGGTGTCCAATGGGGAAGAGCAAGGTAGAGATTAGGGTAAAAAGGGGACCTACATACAACTG